CCCTAAACCCTGAACCCTGAATCCGATACTTCATCTCTGGCCAGGGACTTGCCATGGATCTCCATCCGCCCCACCAGCCTCGGAAAACCAAGAGCTTGGAGCTTCGGTCTGGCCGGATCTAGGGTTGAGGGCTTTTGGGTTTTTTCGTGGTTTTTTTGTTTTTTGGATTTTTGGATTTTTTTGGATTTTAATGCTTTCTTGGATTTTTGGGATTTTTGGGTTTAGGGATTTTTGTGATTTTAGGATTTTTGGGATTTTTTGGATTTTAAGGTTGAGGGATTTTTGTGATTTTAGGGTTTAGGGATTTTTGGGTTTAGGGTTTAAGTTTATGGCTAACGGAGACTTTGCGAATCTTCTGCATCTTGCCTAAGCCTTAAACCCTAAACCCTAAACCCCCAAATTTTAAGCCTCAAAAGCTTTATAGCTTCAATCCTAAATGTGCCTCGTCACCCCAAACCCCGGGCGTAGCAAGATCTTGGAGTCTCCACAGCAAGGATCCCCAGCCGAGGACATCCTTCAGTTCGAAGAAGGAAATCCCAACTCCAAAAGTGTGAAAGTCTTTAGGGTTTAGGGTTTAGGGTCTAGGGGTTCTTGGGTTTAGGGGTTTAGGGGTTTAGGGGGAGTATTCCGAATTTCGATACATATAGGCACTGGCCTTGTGTACCTTCATGATCTTGCCGATCTACACCCCAGTCAACAAACCCAGCAACGCTACTCTACACCCCAAACCGAACACATAAACCCCAAACCCCTAGAACCTAAACCCTAAACCCCAAAACACAAACCCCTTAAGCCAACAAAACCCAAGGAATTGAACCCAACACTCGAACGCTTGCAGTCGAAGAGCTTGACGGGACAGGGTTCCACGTAGTGATCTCCTCTGGCTGAGAGTCGCACCTGCGAGGTTGCCCAAAGGCTCCATGTACACATATAGTATATACTTAGGCCTTTAAAGGAGTTCCTATAGGTACTTTAAGGCCTATGTATATACTATATAGGTACATGGAGCCTTAGGGTTGGTTTGCTCCACACTTCTCTGGGTGTTGTCGAGCTTGAGGAACTGCCTTAGGGACCAAACGACCCCATAAAAGTAGGGGCTCTATACCCTTATACTGTAAATCCCTAGATGGTATATGAACCTTAAACCCTTTGAGGGTCCATTTCGTCCTTAAGGTAGAGGCACCTTTTTGGATGGTACCTGGACCAACGATCCTCCTACTTAGGGTCTCTTCGCACTCGGTGAAACTTCTCTTTAGTCTTGGTTCTGCAACGAACCCACCGTAACCCTAACCCACATATGAACAATATAAGGGCCTAAATCACTACCTATACTATTTTGGGGGGTTCCTCATGATAATTCTGGTATAATATGCCCCAAAACCCTACTCTAATTATTAAGGCTCCTTATTACACATTACTGTAGCTCAACTGCGGGAAGAGGTACATGCACGTACTACATTGCTGAATTACTGGGCTGCGCGGTCTCCATGAACGCGGAAACTGAGGACCTGCCCACGGTGTCGGGCGTAGGGAGATGCGGGAAGCCTGCTTTAGGGTTTAGGGTTTAGGGCCCCTGGCAGTTAGCTTAGCTACACCGTGGGTTACTGATCACTTTTCGGAATCGACGCTGCTCTGAGATTTGCTTAAGGTTAAGGTCCTGTTCCAGGGCATCTAAATTCAAATAAAGATTCCAACATCTAGGGAGATAGGGCCTCTTGTAGAGGTTCCTTATTGTCTGATACTTCTTGGGCCCCTGGCCGCCCCGACATCACCGAACACTTTCTTGGCGGAACCCCCACTGTAAGCATGGCGTAGGCGACATCAAAGTATGCTTGCACGAAGCCCAGGTCACAACAGAAGCCTGAAGCAAGGAACGAAGATCTGTATGTTGTCCCTAAAGTACCGCAAAGACTCGAAGTCCGGACTTGGGCTGGCGGTCAAGGTCAACGAGTTTAGTGATCGTCTCAGAGCATTTGAGCTGTCGATAGTTGTAGGGTGATAGCATAGTGATAGCTACAGGTGTCTAAACCCTAAACCCTAAATACTTATTCCCTTCATCCTTTCAGTTGACCCTACGGCCAAGCAAAGCGGCCTTTGTTGGCCCACGCGCACATGTGCCGAGGCCTGAATTGCAAGAGACATGGTATAGGGTGTAAGGCTTGAGATTAGGATTCGCGGTTTAGGTGACGCACTGCCAGGCTTTGGGATTTGCGAATCTCGGGCTTATCTTCGAGATTTTGAGATTCAACAGTTTGAAGCTTTAAGCATTGAGGGTGCAGGTTTACGAGTCAGGACCCTGTACCATCCTAAACTGGTCCTAACCCTCGACCCCAAAATCCCCAAACAGCTGTTTATAACCCGAAAACGATGCAAGCAATTGTTTACACCATTTACACCGGCTCATGCGCTTCGAATCCTGACATGTCTTGAAGTAAGTCTTGACTAAATTTACACGCAGAAATGTCAAGGAGGATGCCTATATCTACTTACCAAGACTCCTTTTCTTGGACACTACCTGACATATCTACTCTGTACATGTACCCTTGGGCCTACTAACCGTGCCCCAAACCCTAAGTACGAAGCCCCAGAGATGTAAAACACCAAAACTCCTAAATCCAAATCCATGAAGCCCCACATACAGAACCTGCTGTAAACACAAAACTTCGCAAGATTTTCGTTGCAAAGAACCCCTAACCCTAAACTCTAAACCCAATGGTTATTTTACCCTAAACCCTAAACCCAATCTTTTTCCAAGATGGCCTCCCAAGTTCGTGACTGCCAGCATCTTCGAACCGATAACTGGCAACTCAATCGTCTCCCAACGGTCCTCGGAAGTTTGGCTTTCAGGTTTGGATTAGGCGCAAGTATACCCCAAAACACCATCATAAAGGCTAAACCCTAAACCGCAAACACCTGAGCCGGGTGCTTAACAAGACGCCCCATAGACTCTTAAACTCTATAACCCCTTACCTATAACATCCCCAGTCCTTGAACACGAAACCGCGAAATCTGAAACTCGGAGCCCTGACACTACCCTTACTTCCCCAAGAAGCTAGGGAAATCAAAACCCAAAAAGTCTAAAGGTTGGTTTTTGGAGAACTAAGTACCAGAAGACTACCCAGACTTTTGCGGTCCGCGCTTCCCCGTGCAGCGTGATCGTCGCTTGGTGGTAGAAAGGCGCCTTGCGGGGTCTTGCAGCTCCGTTTTAAAGGCTTAGGGGGTTTCAGGGTTTTGGGGTTCTGTTGAGGGCTTTTAGGGTTTTGGGGCTTAGGGTTTTGGGGCTTAGGGTTTACGGTTTTAGGGTTTACGGTTTTGGGGTTTTGGGGCTTAGGGTTTTGGGTTTAGGGTTTTGGGGTTTTGGGGCTTAGGGTTTTGGGTTTAGGGTTTTAGGGTTTTAAGGTTTTGGGGCTTAGAGATTAGGCTTTTAGGGTCTTGGGGTTTTGGGGCTTAGAGTTTATGGTTTTATTGTTTTGGGGTTGAGGGTTTTGGGTTTAGGATGTTCGGTTCCTTTTTGGTGAAAGCTTTCGTATCACCCTTTAACTTTAGGAGTCTCAAACCGGACTAACCGGGGTTTTGGGAGCGCAGTGCCAAGTGCGTCGGAATACTCCTCGAATGCTTTGCGAAGCTGCTCCCTGTTGTTTTTACTGTTCTTGTGTATCGCGCTCTTTTTCTCCCTCTTTCCCGTCTGTTGGTCTCGTGTTCCCCTTTGACCTCATCGTTATGCTTGACTGGCCTCCCGCACCTGGCTCTTGGTTGCTATCTTTTTCGTATCTGCTGCTGCTACTTTCTGCGTAGCCTTTCTTTGTCCGTATCTGATGTTTCTGGTTTTGCTTTCCCTAGGTCCGCAGTTCTGCCTCTCTCTCACTCTCACACTCACACTCACACTCACACTCACACTCACACTCACACTCACACTCACACTCACACTCACACTCACACTCACACTCACACTCACTCTCTCGCTCTCGCTCTCGCTCTCGCTCTCGCTCTCACTCTCACTCTCGCTCTCACTCTCACTCTCGCTCTCACTCTCACTCACACTCACACTCACACTCACTCCCTCGCTCTCGCTCTCACTCTCACTCTCACTCTCGCTCTCACTCACCCACTCACTCACTCACTCACTCACTCACTCACTCACTCACTCACTCACTCTCTCTCTCTCTCTCTTTCTCTCTTCTTGACTCTCGATGGTAGGCCTAATAGTCCAAAGGCCTCAACAAATAGGTACTCCCGTTTCGGCGAGCACCGGCCAATAGCAATGCAGGTTTCTCATTGCAGGAGCATGGGATTATCAGGTACTTTGACCCTGAGACTCTAGGACAACCTGGCCCTGCCCCAACAGCAGTCTCAGTCTTATGTGGGGTTTCCGAGAATAGGAGTCCCTAATAGAGTACCCCAAATAATAGGATCCTTATTATAAGGACCCCAAATTAAGGTACACTAATTTCCGGAAACTCCCATGTCACGAAGCCAGGAAGTTGACTTACCACCCAATACCTAAAGCCCTACGGCAGCATGCCCTAAAACCCAGAAAGAAAAAACTCAAAACGACCTACAGCCCGTGGTCCTACATCCCCACTCCCCTAACCCGCATCCCGAGTCAATTTCACGAGACATCGTACAACCCATATAGACTCGCATAGATCCCTTCTAGAAACTGCAAACCATGAACATGTTCTACACCTAACTTTAACCTGTATAGCCGTGTAGCAACCCTACAAGGAACCATGAACTCTAAACCGCTGAGGCCTATAACACCACTACAGAACCCCTACAGATTCCTAATGAAGGAACCCTTACAGCAGCCTTGCAGGAGCCCTGAAGCCGATGACAGCCTGAAAAAGGGCTTGGGTTGAGGGTTTAGGGTTTAGGGTTTAGGGTTTAGGGTTTAGGATGAAAGGGTTTAGGGTTTAGGATTTAGGATTTCGGGTTTGGGGTTTAGGGTTTAGGGCTTGGGGTTTAGGGTTTAGGGTTTAGGGTGTCGGGTTTAGGGTTTAGGGTGTCGGGTCGGCCTCCTCTGTGCCGACCATGAAGCTGCCGCCGGCGATCCAGATGTAGGTCGCATTCCTTGTCCGGCTTGCATTTAGGGTTTAGGGTTTAGGGTTTAGGGTTTAGGGTTTAGGGGTTTAGGGGTTTAGGGGTTTAGGGTTTAGGGTTTAGGGTAAGTGGCCTCGTAATCAGAAAGTCCCATCAAATGAAAAGGGCTAAGTGCGACTACTGCCGGACGGCAACCCGTGAAGCCCGAAATCCCGAAGTGGGAGCCCCGGCGCAACGAGGAAGCCCCCCCCAACAGCGAGAGGCAACCTCAAGAATGCCCAAAGCCGGAGGGAACCCAAGGACTCCAAAAGCTCAGACCACAAGGGAACCCACAAACCGGAAAGGGACTTCAAAACACGTTAGCAGTCCAATCGACAGCGTTTATATGCCAAGGAGAGGGCAAGGGCAAAGGCAAGCGTCAACCCTAAACCCTAAACCCTAAATCAAGCGCAAGAAGAAGGGCAAAGGCGGAGCCGGGCAGGGCGGGGCAGGTTTGGGGCTGACATGTTATGTCTGAACCCATAAACCCCATAGTAGCTCCTTTTTGGGGGTTACCTTACGGTTTAGGGTTTAGGGTTTAGGGTTCTATATGTGAACCCCAAAAAAGGAATTACTTTAGGGCCTATGGGAATGAATATGAACAGCTGGATAACGCAGAACCAGCAATGAAAACAGCAACTTCAGTGGCAGCTGACTTTACCGATGACGCAAAACTGAATCCCATACTTTCAGAATGTTCATTCTGTAGAATGTAGGACCATAAGCAACATCGACAAGACAATAGAAATTACACCAGGAGACGCCTGAAACCCGAACCCTGAACCCACAAATCGGAGAACTAAGCTGAGGCCAGTGTCAATGCCAAATCGCGGCGATCGAACTCGAAGTAGCCACCTGGATCTCCACTACCCTATACCCTGCGTAAACCGACGCCCTAAACCGTATCCGAAAGCTAGACCCTGAACCAGTGATTTCGCTGCGTACAGGGGCTCGCGAGTGTGTGGCCAGTCCACGCGCAGAGTGGAGCGGCCGCTACTGAGGCTACTGGGTCTTCATGCCACTGCCAGAGCGTCGTTTCAAGACTGCTGCACAGACGACTGCGTCCTTGTAGGAGATTCGCGCCCCTGCCCCATTCATCGCTGTGGTTAGGGACCGTGGGCTGTACTTGGCCACGCCCTAAAGAAGTTCCTTTTTGGGGTTCATATATAGAATCCTATAAGGTAACCCCAAAAAGCAACTACTACGGCGCCTATGGGTACTTTGACCTGTCGAACCCATCCCTAGGCACCTTTTGGGTCAAACATGTCCGATGCAGGCGCTGGGACCCCGTAGACCCTGAACCTCAGCTGCTTCCCCAGCTCCAGGAAAAGGAAACACTTCTCATGATGGCAGGATGATATAATATAGGGGCCTCAAAAAAAAGAATAGGGCTTTGGGGTCCAGTATAGTATAATGATAATGGGGAACCCCAAAATAGTATTGGTAGTGATTTAGGCCCCTATATTAGGACCTTGCTGCAGGTTACCTAGCAATCCTCGGCGATGAAGATACCTCAAGCTAAGTCCCAGTTCCTGATGATTTCAGGGCTTAGGATTTAGGGTTTAGGGTTTAGGGGGGGGTTAGGGTCTGGCGTCGAGCTGCTGATCATCAGCAAGAACAGCTTTGGCGAGTCTTGATCCAGCCTCGGCTGGGTGCTTAGGGCTCCCTGGGCTCTAACTCGAAAGATCTAAGCTCCCCTGAATACTTAACAACACAGCGACTACTAGGGACAGTAGGAGGGACCCCTAGTCCAAATACCCTTTTTAGCCCTTATATACCCCTTACATAGTCTCATGAAGCCCCTATATAATCCCAAGGGTCCCTTTCAGGGTCCCTCCTCTGATCCCTTGGTTATCACACACCACCCAAGAACCTAAACCCCAAACCATCACACATCCAGGAGCTCAGGAACCTGAGCCTAAACCCTGAACCCCTGCGCCGAAGTTCCAAAACCCCCCCACCCAAGTGCCCGAATAATATAGGTGCAACAGTAATGAGAATGAGGGGGTAACTTGTATAGTATAACTACACAGGCGTTAGGCAGGGGTTGTGCTGTACTAGCGATTCATTTTTTCCTCTGTATCAGTTCTGTGTTGAAGGTCCTGCCTCGAAGATTTGGAGCCTCAGGTGTAGAGGCTCTGACTTGCGCTAGGATTTATGGGTAAAGGTTTTCGGGTTTGCGATTTTCAGGCCGTTTTCGGCTTCAGTATTTAGGCTCGGGGCATATTATACTGCAGAACTGTTTTGAGATTGCCAGGCCATACTCTTGCCAATTATTCAGACGTCTACGTTAATCGTCTACGGCCAAAAGTTGCAGGGCAGTTACGGCAGATGGGGAAGCAAAATCGAGCGTTCCACTCCAGGGGCCATCATAACTAAGACTAAGACGCATACTTAAGCAGGGTCACATACTGTAGTATCCATACGGTTTGCAAACCCTGCATATTGTATTCCCCCCCAATACCATCGTTCTTTCTTGATGCTTTTGGGCCCCTGGGCCAGAATCCTAACTCTACCCCAACACGTTAAGCCCTCGGCCCGAGTCCTAAACTTAAGCCATAAAACCTCAGCCCCCCAAACCCCAAACCCTCAACTCATAAACCCTAAACCCTAAACCCTCAACTCATAAACCCTAAAGCTAAGGCGCCAGACTAAACGTCTCAAAGAGGCATGATGGCCTGACCCTCCGGGACGATGACGCTGTCGCCATCCACGGGCGGCTCTGACTCCAACCAGCCTTTGTCAGGGCTTTGAGCTTATACGTTTGGGTTGTATACTAAGTACATATCCATAGTGTGTATATACACATGTATGTATATATATATATATATATATACATACACATGTATGTGTATGTATGTCTGTACATATGCACACATGCGCGAATGTATGTGTGCATGGAATGATGATGAGTTTGCTTGGAACTTATGGCTTAAGCTTGAGTTTCGTCGACTAGTGCCTCAAAATCAGGACGTCGGATCTGGTCTTTGGATCTTGAAGGCTTACTGTAGGGATGAAGGGTTAAAGTGTTCCGGAGCGTGAAACTCACAGCTTGGAGTTCAAGCAGAACTGCCTCTGACATTGAACTATTGCTGCAACTTCGAAACGCAAAACCAAGCGTTCAGCATTGTGGTTTCCTCGATGCAGTCCAACCTGCATGCAGTGAACAGTTGGATAGTAGGTATAAGACTGTCTCTCGTCCCATCCCTACAAAACGCGGTAACGAAACTAATTATTTATTAAGGCCCCTATTTTCAGAATTAAGGGCCTGGTCCTGAAGTTTCAGAGCCGGGAAACTGCGGACGTCGCTCCAGCGATCCACATAACGGAAAATGGCCACTTCCGACGCAGACGGAGTAAGTGCAAAGCCGCGACCTGCTTTTCAGTGGTTCAGCAGTAGCGGGTCTTGGGTGTCGACTCGTCTTGGAACTGTGACTCAGGATTGTCAGCATGATGAGGAAGATGACATTGCTGCATGGCATGAGGATGATATTGAGGAGGAGGATGATGGTGATGATGATGATGCTGATGAAGGTGGTGGTGCTGATGGTCATGGTGATTACTATGGTGATGATGGAGCGAGGAATCGGATGACGATTGGCCTTGTACTGCCGGTGCGGAAACGATGACGAGTGCACTCAACAGATGCTGATAGTAATGATGTTGAGAGATGAGCAGATCATCACCATCATCAACAACAACATTGGCAATATGCTGTGTTGGTCTACGTCGCAGATGTAGTAGCGCAGATGGGAGCAGCAGCAGCAGCAGCAGCAGCAGCAGCAGCAGCAGCAGCAATGGAAGCCCAGATGCGTCAATACAAGCAGGTTGGTTAGTACACACATTCCACGATGATGTCCATAAATTTCTTGACCTCAATGAAAATACGTCCAAACCCCAAATCCAGGCACGAGACACCCTGCATTGCAACAAACGTCCGCACAAACATCACCAAGATAGACATGCTGCAAGGCACCTTGAATCAAGATAACAATGTTCTGTTTTAGACTGGTGCAGACTGAACGAGATTCTTGAGAAACACCCAGAGCAACCCAAAACCCTGAACGCCAAATCCGAAACCCTAAACTCTAAATCCCAAATCCGAAACCCTAAACTCTCCAAATCCCAAGTCCCAAGCACTAAACCCTAAACCCTATAACCCTAAACCCTACAACCCTAGACCGCGAACCCTAGTAACCTTTGCAGCTCAACGCGCCTGAGAGCCAAAGCTTCGTAGCAGGTGCTTTGATGCCGTCCTGCCGCTCGGTCGTGGTGCAGCGAATAAAGCCGTCGGAGCTGTTCAGCGGGTCCACCTTCGGGTCTACGCCGAACCCCAGAAAGTTGAAACTTGGGTTAGGGTCCCTAAGGGTCCATGTGCCCAAATAGTATATACTTTGGCCCTAAAGTAGTCCCTATATAGTCACTTTGGGGCCAAAGTATATACTATTTGGGTACATGGACCCTTAGGGGGTGATTAGTGCTTCAGGGCATGGCATGGGGATAGTCACCTTCCAACTTTCTGACATATCGACTATGGTGACTATGGGGCACTTGTAGTATGTATAGGGATTTGGGGTTCTGGCATGTAAGGTAAACTGGTAAGCCCTGAACCGCACAATTCATGTGGGTAGTTCTGTAAATTAGGGTCCCTTTTTGGGTCCCCAATATAGTACGGCACCCTTATAAAAAGGACCCTAAAAGGGACCCTAATTTAGAGAACTACCCATGTGGCCTTGAGGTGTTGGAGTTTCGGCTGGAGGGTCTAGGCTTGGATTCCTAGCGACGAGCAGCAACCATGGTGCCCAGAATCAACGGTTTTTTCGTGACATCTAAAGTTCATGCACCTGGGGTCTACACCCTAAGGGTCCATGTGCCCAAATAGTATATACATTGGCCCTAGAGTACCTATATAAGGACTACATTAAGGCCAAAGTATATACTATTTGGGTACATGGACCCTTAGGGACAGTAACCCTAAGCCTCAAAGCCCCGAAACCCCAAAGCTGCATTCGAGAACCCAAAGCCCCTGCTTCAGCATCCCACAAAAGGCGTCACCTCGCAGGGATAGGAGTTCAACGAGATCTCCGCCGTCTCGCCGCTTGCGTCGATCGGTGAACCCGTGGCATCCAACGGCTGCAATCCTTGCCCGACCAAAGTGACCTGGCAGGGTTTGGGGTTTATCGGGTTTCGGGTTTGGGGTGTGGGGTTTAGGGTTTAGGGTTTATAGGGTTTAGGGTTTTAGGGTTTATAGGGTTTATAGGGTTTAGGGTTTAGGGTTTATAGGGTCTAGGGTTTTAGGGTTTAGGGCTTTAGGGTTTTAGGGTGGGCATCAGGGCTTTGCCATGCTTTCTTGTTGGTGCGTGTGTGATGTTTAGACACAGGGCCAAGGCCTTCAAGAAGCCTACTTGGAGGTTCATGGGCAGTGGCTCTTTCAAGGGATCTATTATAAGAGGGCTCTATAAGGGCTCTTTAAGGGATCCTATAAGGCGTCTATCAGGGGTCATATTTGGAGGTACATGGGTAGCTATAAGTAGGGTTATAAGTAGGGTAAGTATAGTTATAAGCTATATTAGGGGACTTTAACTCCGCTTACAACTACATGAACCTCCAAGTACATAAACCCCCCTCTACACAAACAACCCTTTCTTGACTGTACCACCTCACACCAAAAGCCCCTAAAACCCTAAACCCTGCAAACCCTAAACCCTGTAAGCCCTATAAACCCCTAAACCCTGTAAGCCCTATAAACCCTAAACCCTGTAAACCCTAAACCCTAAACACCAACCTTATAAACCCTAAAACCCCAAAGCCCTCCTGAAGTCGCCGCACCTCGGTGCCTCCTCGCGCAGAGCCCCGGTCGGGGCTCACACGAGATACGATGGGCGTCCTCTCAAGGCCTCGAGCTTCTCTGGGTGTAGGGTTTAGGAGTTTAGGATTTAGGGTTTAGGGGTTTAGGATTTAAGTTTAGGGTTTAGGAGTTTAGGGTTGAGGGTTTAAGTTTTGTAAGAGTTTAGGGTTCAGTGTTCAAGGCGTTGGGGCTGAGGCCTTGGATTCTGTCGGTGCAGCTTCTGCGGCCGAGATAGTGCAGTATAGAAGAATTGGGAAGTAGAATAGAGATCTGAGGAACATCAGAGTACTATTATAAGAGATATTGAAGATAAAAAACTACTGTAAAGTCCCTTCCAACAGCTCTAAATTCCTTGCCCCCTCCCTGTCCTGACCTGCCGTGCCCTGCAGGGTGAAAGGATGAGAGCTTAGCGACTACCGGTGCTAATCATTCCTACTTGTCTGTAACTTGTTGTGTCATCATTGGGTTCTAAACACAAACTACATCATTCAAGACAAGGTGCTCGGTTGTAGAGTCTTGGTACGGGTGGGATGAGGGCTCTGCCGTACGCCGATGTGGCACGGTGATGGTTAAGCAGCTTTGCGGCGGGTACCCTGTAAAGACGAGCAAAACTGAACCACACAGGACACTATGTCTAGACCCGACCATGTAATAGTTTCTTAGATTACGTATTTTATGGGTAGGACTTACGAAAAAAAACCAGGTAACCGATAACACTGCAGTCCAGGGTCTAGACGGTCTAGGTAGGAGAAAACCTACAGCTCCTCTTCTGTCCCAGGTGCTGTAGAAGAGCTGTGCCGGCAGCCAAGCAGAGCCTCCACCTGCCGAAGCCAGCGGATGCGACACCCCCTCGACCTGTCCGCAGGGAGTCATTCGTTGTGCAAACCGATAGGCCCCATAGTAGTTCCTTTTTGGGGGTTACCTTATAGGATTCTATAGATGATCCTCAAAAAGGAACTACTTTAGGGCTTGTTTGAACAGGCCTCAACATTTTGACGAAGGCCATTTTGGGGGTGTTGAGGCTCTACATACATCGCGAGGACATAAGTCTTGACCTACTAGACCTCTGTTGTCTTAAGACGTCTTGCGGAGTAGCGGAGTACCGACAAGTGCATTTTACGTGGCATGGCTAGCGCGTAGTTTGTACCCCGTGATAAAATTATACTGCGTTCCGGAGGAGTAGCCGGTTGGTCCCTTGTATAAGGGAATGGGGGCCGGTGGTCGACGAAACAAGGCATAGGTCAACCCTAAACCCTCAACCCTTTGCCATCAAAGAGTCCTGGAATTACATACGTGTGCAGAGTTCAGGCTTCTGTTTTCATGGGCTTTGAGGCCTTGAGGTTTATAGTCCATGAACAGCTAAGGCGCATACGTAGATATAAAATATATAGATACGTATTACTACCGTTGTACATTTATTTGGTTTCTGCTTCTATCTATGTATACAAACATACATATACATGGTTAGCACACCTGACGAAATTCCACGGGTTACGGCTTTGGGGGAAAGGTTCTCGGCTAAGGGGCGGCTGTGCACAAGCTTGCAGGCTGGAGGTGTAAGCGGGTCATGCTCGAAACCGCATGGCTGCTGGCACTAGTCTGCGTCTGGTGGTACTAATTACACCCTTTGAGCTTCGCCATGCAAACTCTACAACTCCGGCTGTTCTGCCCAACCAAATTGCGACATATCACTAGCTCGCATCAAGTTGAAAAAATCACAGGAAGGTGTTTTTCGAGAAGTGCTAGCCTTCGACGCTTCTCACAACGGGGAAAGGGTTGGCCGCAAGACATACTTAGTGAGAGTTGGGTTTAAGCCTTGGCGCTAAGAGTCGTTCGACTTCCCCAGTCCAAAACCTCTGCAAGGCTTTCCGCGTGCAGCATCCCGGAGGCCGTGAAACTAGACTCTACTCTCTACTACTGGTAAGTTTCGCGTTTAGGCTTATGAACACCCAAACTCTCAACCAAACAGCACACCCCAACTCTAAAACCTCCTGATGTGCGCACGGTCCCGTTTAGGTTCCGTAAGACTGCTCTGTCATTCAAAATCTTCAAGCCTGACCCTGCTTTATGTAGGAACTACTACGCTTGTGGAAGTAGCAGAGTCATCTGTTCTTCTGAAGGGGTTAGCGTTTAGGGTTTGTGGGTCAGGGTTCAGGCTCTAGGCTGACCCATAGGCCCTAAAGTAGTTCCTTTTTGGGGTTCATATATAGAATCCTATAAGGTAACCCCAAAAAGGAACTACTATGGGGCCTATGGGTACCCCTATACCCTTAAGCCCTAAACCCCTAAATCCCTCTATACCCTTAAGCCCTAAACCCCTAAATCCTTAGAGCC